GGGAAGGGAAGAAAATTGGGAAGGGAAGAAAATTCTGAGCTAGGTCTTAGGGCTTTTGTAAGATGAGGTAGCAAATGGGCGGCTCCCTCAGACCCGGTTTTGAGTGTGGACTGCTGGAGTGGAGCAGGAGTAAATATTCTGTCCTCTTCCCGGTTCTGAATGAATTTGTGTAATCTGATCCTACAAACAACCTACAAGACTACAACCATCTCAAATAGCTGACAGTGAGCGAGCGGATCAATAAGTGGGGCTGGCTTGGGCTGATTACAGCCATCCCATCAACTCTCCCAGAGAGAACAGCTTCGGGCTGTTCCTTTGGGTTCCCTGGAAAGACTCGGGGGGCAAAACCTAGAAAGTCTCACCAATTGTGTTTACCACTCAAAGACACATTTCTTCACCAGAGAGCTGGCAAGATGGTTCAGTGGGTAAAGGCACTTGCTGCCAAGTCTGATGACTTGAATTCCATCCCCCACACAGGAGAAGGAGGAAGCTGACTCCCACGAGTTGTCTTCCAACATTCAATGTACACTGTGGCATGCACGCATGTGCAAACACACACACATAAATAAATAAATAAATAAATAAATAAATAAATAAATAAATAAATAAATAAATAAATAAATGTAATTTAAAATTTCCATCATTGAACATATCAAGTTGAATGCATCTAACTAGCCTCGTGCAAAGAACTGGAAAATTCTTTACATACTGTAGAAGTAATACTTTTTAAATAGTAAATGTACAAAGAAGTTATTTGAGCAGATACGAATGCAAGCCCCAAATACCACTTATTTCTTTCTCTCTCCCTCTCTCCCGTCTATACTCTCCTTCCCCTTTTCAGCCAGTCCTTTGGGAAGCAGAGTCATCTACATACGATGGATGATGCCAGCACTTAATTTGGTGTCTACACTGTTTTAAATACTGACTTTCTGGTCCCCGAGCTTTCAGAGACAGTGAGGCTATTTAGAGTAGAAGTCGGACCCGCCCCATCCCACTGCCTCTCCACAGGAGGGGGCAGCACAGAAGATGCTGGAAAAGCCCACCGCTCATTCTGAATCTCTTGCTCAACTTCTCTGAGTTCAGGCTCCCCAAATCCTTAAAGTAGAGCTGCCTCGGAGCAGAGACAATGTGAGCAACATGTGGAAATGTACCTGCACAAAGCAGGCATCCAATGACAAACACTGACCAACTTCAACTTTTAATGCTCTTCCATGACATGTAAAAGCAGCCCCCCATCTTCCTCTTGGCATGATGTCAACTTGTGGCATGTTTTCAAATTTCTTGCTGGTTTCTTTTAAAACAAATGATTTGGAAAATGGCGACTTTTCATATCTAAGCAGGTGTGTGTGTGTATGTGTGTGTGTGTGTATAAAATGTTCCCGTAGCATTAAAACTGGCCAAAAGATACACATGAGATTAAGATACACACAGGATTAGGACTCTACGAAACCTGAGAGTTTACCAGTGGCATTTGAAAATATGCCAGCAATGCCCTTAACCTGTCCTCAATACTGTAGTGAAACGCATAAACATGTAAAATGTAAAAAATCTATGATTTAGATCTTTTAAAGTCTCCCCAAATTAAACTGTTGAAATAACTTGCCCCCATCCCATCAGATTAGCAAAGATTTAAGAAGTAAACAAAGAGCCCTACTACAGTGAGGATGTGGGCCCAGGTATTCCCACAAGGCCTGTGTTTGCATGAATACAACCTTTGGTCTCTAGAGCAATGACAAGTGTGTCACAAGTTTTAAAAGGATTCACATGTGCTTTCAGCAAGGTAGGGACACATTCTCACCCTGAAACAAACCTATGTATAGGAATGCTCATTATCTCAGAACTTAATACATATCAGAGGAGGAAGAGGAGGAGGAAGAGGCAGAGGAGGAGAAGCAGCAGCAGCTGCAGCAACTTTATGTCCACCAATGAGGGAGTAGATATAAACACAACTTAATGTCCATCAATAGGGAACCAGATTGATATATGTTATCGCCACTCCCACAGAATACCATGCAGCTATTAAAATCTATGCTAACAAAAAGGAAATGGGACTGGTTAATGAAGGAATCAGTTATGCAGTAGAATTGGCTACGAGTATGATTTTAGTGTGCTGAAGTGATTCTCAAGTGGTAAATCACAAGAGAAATTTACAGTAAAGAACAAGAATTGCACATGGTGATCAAAAAATCCATCCCAGGGCTTGAAAGGACACAGTGTTAAGACTTGCAGCCCACATCCTAACTTGAAAAGAAGTGTGGGGTGAGCTCAGTGCTGATTCAGATCCTTTTAATGAATGGCAGGGATAGGAAAGTGGATATGAAGACTAAGAGTTATGTCTGAGGCTGACACACAGCCTCTTTGCACTTTGAGTTGGAGGAAGTCTGAGTGATTTGCACACCACATGCACCAATGCTCCCTCACCCAGCTAAGAAGTTTTGGCAGAGTTTGCAGAGATGAGGGAAGGTCTGGAAATGGAAAGGTAAAAACTCACAACCTGCCAAAACATACAATTTTGCATAGTGGAGGAGGAAATGAAACTGCACACACACACATACACCTGCAGATACATATTAACGCACAACACACTTTGCCACCCCCGCACTAAGCAGAAATGCCTCCATGTGCCATCTGTCCTCCCCTGGATCCAACAGTTATTACCATCGCACACTTCATTCTTAGTTTAAAAACTCCTAGTTTATTCCCAGTGCCCACCACAGCCACCAGCAACAACCAGACAAGGACCGCAAGCATGCCAATATTGTTTTCCTAAACTTTCTCATATGTTAATTCTCTTTTCAATGTTTCCCGTGTCTAACCTAACCCCACAGCCAAGAAATAGAGTGAGACTTCCTTGGGGGCATTTGTACATCTCATGTGAAACACTCTTTTACTGTAGAAAGCAAGGAGTAAGGCAAGAGCCTATGACTGGAAGAAATAACATCCTCCTGTACAGACCTGTTTTGATATGGCTTGCATGTGGCCATAGCTCTATCTATGCACCTGACTGATGCCCTACAGCAAAGCAGACGTCCTACAATCTGAAATCCCATGAAGCTAGACCCAGTGAAGTTACAGTGAAAAAAAAAAGACACAATTTAAACTGTCCCCATCAATGTCACAACTCTCAAACCTAAAGGTGTCCACTTGACTGACAGTAGCACATCTACATATTTGTTTGCAGATGTCACAGTGCAGAATAATCTGTATGTGTGTGTGTGTGGGGGGGGGTGTTCTTGGTTGTTCTCTTGTGGTCAGTTTCAGGAAATACAGGCATTTCTTGGTTCAGAGCTCAGATTGCAAATCAATATGTTTTAGTGGCTTAAAATATTTTTTTTCTAAGCTGGAAGCGCGCTAAGCTAATAATTAACCGTAAGCATACCATCACTTCTGCTAAAGACATTTTCTGCACACAACCCTAAATCACTCGTTGTTGTGTTAAACAGAATAGACGAGCTGTAATAAAAGATCTCCAAGAAACGTGATAGTTTTCATTGGGTCACCCAGGAGCTTTTCCTCTGAAATCTGCAGCTTCTTGGCAGACATAGGGAGGGCCGGTTGGAGAGAGCACCCCAAACAAGATACCACCCAGAGCCCAATTATTTTCGCCAGAAAGTTGCCTAAGATAACTTCAGGGTTCCCAGACTGAGTAATTCTTGCGTCCAAGGTTACCGTCGGCAGGTTTCCATGATGTTGGTTTTTTTAAGGTGCCCTTATTAACTGCACTGCAAGGGTTCTGATTTGCACCTCTCCGGCGGCGGCGGCTGCTGCTGGGGGGAGTGAAGAGCAACGCGCCAGGGCTGCGGCAGCCTCGCAGGCCAACTAGACGGCTAGGGGCGAGCCTTGCCCCCCCTCCCCGTCCCACCCTTCCCGGCACCCGCGCGCCCCGCCGGTACTCACCGCTGTCCAGCCGCGCGATCTGGGGCAGCCGGTAGGTGCTGACCAGCAGGTCGAGCGGCACAGCCACTGGGCTCCACTTCACATCCTTGAGGCTGCAGCCCAACGAGGGCACCGGGTCCATCTTCCCCGCCTCCTCCGGCCCCGCGCTCCCGCGCCCGCTCCACCGCTGGCTGACGGGCGGCTTCGCTCTCCCGCCGCGGGCAGCCCGGGCAGCGAGGCACAGCGGCGGGGACGCGGCGCCCGGCTTCAGCGGCCACACCGAGGCATGGCTGGCGCCCCGCGCCCTCAAGCCAGGGGAGCACTGTAGGCGGCCCGACTGGCTGCGGAGGCTCCCGCTCCGCCTCCGCCTCCCCTGGCCCCGGCTCTGCAGCTGCGGCGGCCGGCCGCCCGCCTCCTCCTCCTCGGCCCCCTCCTAGCCTCCGCCTCGAGCACAGCGTGAGGAGGAGCCGCGGGTCCGAGGAACGCCATAGCAGCGCTCCCGGCACTGACTAATCAACAAGGTGCAAGGGACGCCTGCGCAGCCCGCCCCGGCACCGCCTCCGTGCCCGCCTCCCACCGGGGACTCCGCCTCCCTGGAGCACAGGCTCCGCCTCCCCAACTCAGGCCTCGCCTCTTTGACTCGGGTTCCGCCTCCACGCCCTTAGCTCCACCTCTCTGGAGCGCCGGCTTCACCTCCCTGGCACTCGGGCTCCACCACTAGCCACGCCCACTTTCGAGTAGGCTCCTCCTTCCACGCGTTCCCGCCCCCATCCAACCCCGCCTTCATCTAGCTCCTCCTCCCTCCACCTCGCCCCGCCTCCCTAGCCACAGCTCCCGCAGGCCCCGCCTCCCTGGCTCCGCCTCCTGCAGGCTCCGCCTCCCGCACATTTCTCGAGCTGGGAGCTCTGCCTCCCTCCGAGGCGGCTCCCGGGACTGCGGTACCCGCTCGGCTGCGCTCCGCAAGCTTTGGCTCTCGCTCCCCCGTCCGACCGCTCGCGCGCCCTGCAGCCTCGCCCGGCGCGTCCTTCCCGGAGCCCGCGGCGCAGCGCTCTTCGTGGTCGGCGGTGGCGAACTCTGATGATGCCTCTGGCCGCTGCAAGTTTTCCTAGCTATAGGGACCCAGGCGGGAAAGAGCCTGTAAAGCCAGCCTTCCGCGGTGCTTCCTACCCAACTCCACACAGACCGAGCTGGAAGTTTCTGTGATCAGCTCAAGTGTAGCTGCGAGGCAGGACGCAAAAGAGCCCGAGGCACAGAAAGCTGAGGAGTGTCACCTTCCTAGAGGCCACCCTCCTGGGACGCGCAGAAGGAAAGGGCAGAGAGGTTCTCTTCTGAGAATCAAGGATAAATCCCCTTTCCTAAACATGTTACTAGAACTTTAGAGGATGTCACAAAATGGCACAGCTCTTGGGAGGAGGTGCTAGCATTCAACCCACAGGTTGCTTTCCATAACAATGTTGCCCACAGTTTTGAAATAGGGCTTGCTTGTTGTGGACGGAGCTCAGATAACAGAAGAGATTGCGAGGTTCCTAGTTTCAGGCACACCCCGGACTTGTGTGTTGATTTTTTTTTTTTTCTTTCATGAAGTTCAATTAGAAAAGGTGAGCGTGTTCCATCAACACGTTTGCAGTATTAGGTGCTCAGTCTATAAAGGGCAGAACTGGCACTGAGGGGTCACGAAAAGATCCCACTGCTTCTTAGAAGGCTGGCTTGAGAAAAGTCTGTTCCCACGAACAAGCCAGTGCGTTTGCTCTTGAGGAAAAACACTAGATTCTTCCCCGTTTCCTTCCCAGGCCTCTCATGTCCGAATATTGATTATATTATCTACTAAACTCTTCTGCGAAAGTTTTACATTCTGTGTCATGTTAATTTTTTTCCAGTTGTAAGGAAAAAAATTATATCAGAGGTTCATAATTCATATGTTTCAAAACGGTACAGTGCTAAGTACCAAGCATTTTTTCTAAATATCTTAATCATTTCTGAAAATAAGCTTAGACTCAAAAAGAAGAAAGATAACAGAAAATATCCATGGTTGGGTAAGGCCAGGGCTCTTTCATTTGTCCAGTAAGTAGGTCTTGATCTTTATGTGGTGAACTGACTTTTTAAAAACATCACTTTCTGTTTCTATTCTATTTTCCTTAAAAGCTTTGGAGAACAGGAAAAGTAGTTCTCTCTCACAAAAAGGACTGGTGACCTATGGCCTAAAGACAAGACAAAAAATAAAAAGATCAATGTAATCAGATTTGCTTTTAAATCAATAAAGGTCTTACATTAGATTTGCTGTTATTGCTGACCTGGTAGAAAAGATTTCATTTCAGTCCTAAGTATTTAAGGGAAGAAGTTTTAATGAGCCAATTCCTGGTAAGTTTTACATCCTGAAGAAATCCCTAAGAAGGGTATTAAGTATGAGATGGAGCTGTGGTAAGACTGTAAGAAAATATTGACTGAATTGTCAATATTCCACATATGTTTTGAGGATTATTAAACCAGTGCAGGGTGTGTAAAAGCACAAAAGCAGGGTGCAGGGGTGTTATTGTTTAGATCTTAAATGTTTTCCTGAAGCCTGTGGATGAGAGGACTATTCGGGGCTGTTTAGAGATGTGCAACCTGTAAGACGTGTAGAGTGATGAGAGATCTCTAGGTTACTGGCATGGGGTGCTCCTGAAGAGGATAAACCATGGGGTCCTGGCTTCTTCCTTTTCCTCTCTTTTGCTTCCTAGATGTGATGAGGTGAGCTGGGCTATGGTGGCACATGCCTTCAATCTCAGCACTCTGGAAGCAGAGACAGGCATATCTCTCTGAGTTCAAGGCCAGCCTAGTCTACAGAGTAAGTTCCAAGACAGCCAGGGCTACACAGAAAAACCCTGTCTCAAAAAACAAAGTATCCAGATGTGATTGGGGTGAAAATATGCTCCATCTCATAGAGGCCCCTGAGCAAAGAGTCCAACCCACCATGGACCACACCAGAAGTATTAAAACTGCGAGCCAACTATAAGCTGATGCTTCTGAAGTACTTGTTATAGTAAAGGAAAGCTGATCGGCACAGCTGGCGAAATGTACAGCAGATTCTTTGTGAAAAATGTTTTATTTGTCTAGTTAATGAGGCAGGGAGAGAGAGAAAAGATGCCACATGTGTGCAGGTGCCCATAAGGCCAGAGTTATAAGTAGTTGTGGACTGCCTGATATGGGTGCTGAGAACCCAACTCCAATCTTCTAGAAGCATAGTAAATACTCTTAACCACTGAGTCAACTCTCCAGTCTCATAGCACATTCTTTGGATGATTAAAAAGATCAACTCCAAGGCCAATGAGATGACTCAATGGATAAAGACCATTTGCTGCCAACTTGATAATCTGAGTTCCGTCTCCAGGATTCCCATGGTAGAAGGAAAGAACTGACTCCCACCAGGTGTCTTCTGACCTCCACATACATACCTATGCAAATTTACATATTTAAATTATATATAATTTATATATAATATATTTTATAATGTGTGTGTGTGTGTGCATGTGTGTGTGTGTGTGTGTGTGCAGTCCTTGAGTTTAGTTGCTCTTGTATAGGATCTTGGGAAACTGTGGCTTCCTCTTCTGCAAAATATAAGTTAATAGTACTTATCTCAGAGGACTTGTGTGAGAATCTAATCATTTAATACATACTGAGAAAATGGCATAATGTCTGATACATAGAGAAAACTTTGCTATTACAGGTTGAGTATTCCTTATATGAAATGCTTGAGACAAGAAGTATTTCAGATTTGCTTTTATTTTAGGATATTTGCATATACCTAATAAGATTTCTTGAGGAATGAGATCCTAGTTTAAACATGAAATTCACTCATTTTTATACATACCTTAAATATATACTATTTTATATATCTTATATATACCATTTATATTTCATATATACCTAAATAGTATAGTGGGCATTTTTTTATTTTATTTTATTGTAGGTGCTAGGGCTTGAATCCAAGGCTTCACATGTGCTAAGCATGTGCACTACCCTGGAGTCCTGTGAAGGTGATTTTACATGTTGTTTTCTATGTGCCTGTGACTTTTGGAACCTTCCTGGTTTAGGATTTTAAATTAGGAATGTTTGGCTTGTTTTATTAAAAGTACTCTTGGATGGCCTGCTTTAGAGCACAGATGAAGAAACAAATTCAGATTGAAAGGATGACTTAGATCTAGGACAAACAGCACACAGTAGAGGAATCGTTCTCAACAAAAGAGACCTGATATAGGGCTTCCCTCCCTGACTCTAGAGTCTGTGGAATGAATGAGCCACAGCGAGCCTGGCAGAACTGGCCTTGATGAGTCCAAGGCTGAACTGGACAGGAAATACCTGAGGACTCTGTGACTGACTCATCTAGCCTCCTAACTGTGTTCCCACTGTTCTCAAATACATAGTTTGCTCATTCTCCACATTATCAGCATTGCAAGATAAAAACATTACATGTTGCTCTTCCCCATATCACAGTGTCCTGGAGCACAGCATAAGCCAGCGGTCAAATGTAACGGCAAAGTTCATGGCCCTGGTGCTTCTCTGGAACTTCAGGCTCTTTTTCCTTTCCGTTAAAGTCTATGCTATTGCCAGAGATAACCTAGGAGTCACTCGCTGGCTAACTTGTTGTCCAGTGTCTGTGCCCCCTTTGTCTAAGGAGTAAAGTATAAGCCCTTTGTGCAGCCACATATTCCCTTATGTGGCTGATCTGCCTCCCACAGCCTCACTTCTGTAGGCTGCCTTCTGACATCGTATGATGCCATATACCATCTTGCTGTGCATGCCTTTGTAGATATCCTCTCAGCCTAGACTGTCTTTTTCCCTTTCTCTTCTAGCTCCAGCTTCTTGTATTCTGCAAGACATTATCTCCTTTTTGAAAGACAACCCCTTTTCTATGATATCATGGCACCCATCAATACCCTCTTCTACTGTGCTAATTGCTGTCTGTTTTCATGTTGGCTTTCCCTACTAGAAGCCAGATAGCTGTGGGCATGGATGTATTAGATTTGTCTCTGTTTCTTCAACTCCTATTACCACACTTGGTACAGGGAAAGTGATGTTTGTTGAAACAACCAATCGATAGCCTGGGTCAGCACATTCTGTGTTATTTCAGAGGTCACTGCATCTCCTTATCATAAACAATCCATCAGATCTAGATAGTATCAAGATTTTCAAGATCCAAGCCCATATGGGCCACGTTCCCTGCCATTCCTCTGAAAATTGGAGCCACTGCCCTTGAGATCTCCATTCATCACCAAGTAGAGATTGTGTTTACTGACTAGAATTGTCATAAGTATTGGCGTGGTTAGCATGTTTATTGTTAACTGTGATATCCCTTGCTGTGACTGTCTCTCTGAAGGACTTCCTTTCTTTGCCTTCCTAACACTTAACATATATAGTAGATGGATGACATCTGTGTATGTCTAAAGTGAATATCTCCCAAATGGACACCAAGAAATCTACTTTTGTAATCTCCCTCCTCTTCACTTTTGATACAAGCTATGGCTTTCCTAAGTAGA